ACTTGTTTAAAGGAAAATTCTGTGCGATATGTGTAGAATTGAAGAGTGAAATACAATTGCGGTAGGTGATGGATGATGTTTAAGCATTTATTTTGCAATACTTGAAATTTTACCAACTTTGTTTTGCAAGCATGTCCCCTAACGATGGCTAGGTACTGCATATGAGAAAGTGGCATGCACTGGTTTTAAACCGCATTGTTCACTGTAATTTTTGAAACTAGCTGGTTGTCACATTGTATTCTGAAGAGGGAAAGGGAGGAGTGAAAAGTCAAAACGCCAGTTAGTGTCAAAAACTACAGTGAACCATGTAATTTAAAACCCGTGCAGACCACCATTACCGAGCGTGGAAAGCTAGATGCAGCCATGATAAAACGTTAGAAGAGCATTCCTAGGCACAAATTTGCCAACACGATACATTGAGTCAAAGAAAGACGAGACTTTCCTTTGGACATATACTATTGACTAAATACATGCTTGGCATACACAGTTGTACAACTCATTTGTTAAAAACTTTTCACTCAGTTGGTGAAATTTGTTTTTCTTTAAAGTAATTGATAGATTAGGATCATAGTTTACTATAGATATGCAAAGAATAGGTAAATCTTAACATTTGAATCAACACCAATGATTTTTTACACTTACAGTCCGAGATGTGCAGCGAGCATTTCTCAGTTCATTTTTACAACGCAAAAACAAATACAGTTTATTACTAGAATTAAAATCCACTTTTATTTACATATCTATAACAAGCTTAAACTCTATTCTATCTACTGCTATAAAAAGAACTATGTGACGTCAACTGTGTGCAAAGTTATTAGCAAATGAGCAGTTTGTGACCAAAACTGTGTATGCCAATTATGACTAAATATATATTATATTAAAGCAACTGATAGAAAAGAGTTTTTGGTTCATATAGATACGTAAAACACAGTAAATTTGTATTTAGACAAAAAGCTGATCCTATATTTGCGTCACAAAAACGAAAAGAGAAATAATCGTTGATCATTTCAGACTTACAATGAAAAAACTAATTAGTGTGAATTCAAATGTTGTGATTTATCTACTCTATGCGTATCTACTGTGAACTCTGATCCTATTATATCAATTGCTTGAAGTAAAACCAACCGGTGGAAACTAACGATTTTAAATTGGCTAACTATTTGACTAGCCTATTGGTCTCAAGCAAATCGATTGACGTACTCCATTCTAGTTGAAATTCTAGTACTACATTATGTTTGGCTCTGAGTATTTTATTGGTTAATCAAGTATTATTGTGAAGATCTTCAACTGTTCAAAAATTCAAATGTCTTCTCTCAGGTATTCTCCCAAAATGGCTCGTTGATCAGCAAGTATTCAAAATATCTCCAGCTCTACAACTCCAGAGTTAAGTTCCTGTGTATATTCAGGCCAGCAAAGTATTATACTGACAAAAAAACACTTATTTTGGTTATACCACAGAGAAGTTATAATTCATAATCAACATTTTCATGAAAGAGGCTAAACCATCAAGTCAAAATCTTCTAATCTATAACAAAAATCTGCTTAAATTTAAAGACTTAAGCAGCTTTCGGAAGTTTTCTCCTAGATCAACATTTCATAAAATATCCGCAGTTCTACAGAAATGACCTCCGGAAATGACAGGGGTAGGACGACGAGAGGAACAGACTCCTCCGCACGGCTGCCAATTCGGATCTCCCCCACTGGCCAAGGTCCACTGGTACGGAGACAAAAGTTGGCGCATACCTCCACCAAAAATCGAGAGTCGGATAAACAGCAGGTTCAAGGCTGGAGATAGCTTTGCAGCGCTGAGGAGAACAGTAGCCGGACTACCCAACCCATGCCCACATATACACGGACGGATCACTTTCCCGAGCCGGGGTCGGAATTGGAGTAGTTATAATTTCAGCACCGATGAGTAGCAGCCTACCGCCACAATGCTCGGTTTTCTCCGCCGAAGCCACGGCCATGTTTGTTGCCGTTACAACACCCTCGGACCGGCACAAACTGGTACTATCTGATTCGTACAGCGTGATACAAGCATAGAGGTAACTCTAAGACCAGAAGGTCGCGAAGAAACGTGCTCAACTTTTTGGCTCAGCTCTGGTACTATCTTCGGTCCCAAGCTAATCGATGCACCCCTCGAAACATAGGAAAGTCCACGATCCCCTCATTTTGTCTGCCAACTTTTAAATAGCGAATCAAAACAAACATAGTGTAGTACTAGAATGTCGACTAGAATGCGAACGTTAATCGGTTTGCTTGGGACCAATAGGCTAGTCAAGTAGTGAGTCAATTTAAAATCGTTAGTTTCCACCGGTTGATACAAGCCCTTACACCTGATACCCCGACTCACCCCTGGATACAGGGTATCGTTGAGGCCACACCCCCGAACACGGTGTTCACCTGGATCCCTGGGCACTGTGGTATCACAGGAAATAGCGAAACCGACAGCCTGACAGGGTCTGGACCAGCTTGCCCTTGTTACACCGACGAAGTGCGATTGCAAGACTTTATGTGATGGATAGTTAACAAAATGTGGGAAGCCTTGGAAGTAGAGTGGTGCCAATCAAAATCCCTCTTCATCCGAAGAATCAAAGTAACGACGAGCGAGTGGACGGATATGCCGAAACCGAGGCCAAAACTACGGGACCAGAAGGTGGTTTCTTGTCTAAGGACAAGCCATACAAGGATCTCACATAGTTTTGGTGGGACGCAGTTCCACAAAATGTGCGACGTTTGCGGAACCACTGCATCGGTGGAACACACCTATGCCTGTGTCCGCAATACCAACAACAATCAATTCGAAACTAACGATTTTTAATTGGCTCACTACTTGACTAGCCTATTGGACCCAAGCAAATCGATTAACGTACCCCATTCTAGTCGAAATTCCAGTACTACCCTATGTTTGTTTTGATTCGCTATGAAAGTTTGACGGATAAAATGAGGGGTTCGTGGGTTTTCCTATGTTTCGAGGGGTGCATCGATTAGCTTGGGACCGAAGATAGTACCAGAGCTGAGCCAAAAAGTTGAGCTCGTTTCTTCGGGACCTTCTGATCTTAGAGTTACCTCTATGATAGCAACATCTGCGGGAGCAATATGCACTTCCCAACAGCATTAGAGACATCCTGGGCGACGAACCTTTCACTTTAGCGACAGTTCTTTACTTCCTTAAGGACGCTGGACTATACAACAACATTTAGGTCCTTTTAATTTTTTTTACTTTCGGGACATCTCTGCCAGACGGTGGCTTACTCCTCCTACGGTGGAGCTCTGATCTCGTTCAGAATCCTACCCATATTGCATTATTTTCGTTGCCTGTATTGTTAGTCATTTACTGGAATCTATTTTAATCGTTTCTCTTTGAGTACATGTGAAGTGTAAGCCAACTCCGTAACAACATTTCCACGAAGAACCCCCCTCTGGGCCCCCTCTTTATAGAGATGAACTAGTCAACGGTTAAAAATCTCTCTAATAAAAAAAAGAAAGAATATCTTCACAAAACGTAAAACATCTTCAAAATGTCTGCCTGAACAAAAAAATTATCTAAATGATATTCGAACATTCCTGTATAATGTTGTTATTATCGATCATACGATTTTTGGACAGAAATTTGTCGATCTGCTGTTTGATAAAAAAAACTTGTTTAATTCAGAAATTTTTCCTTCCCTCAGGATTTATTTAGTGGAAAATCAAATATATTATATTAACAATATGATCCACTCTTTTGCATAGCTGGCGAACCAAATTTTTAGCGATGAAAGCACCTCTGTGGCCAAAAAGGCTACCAATGTATTTGTTTATCGTCACGAGGGGTAAACCAAATGAAAATTAGTTTAATATTTCAAATGAATGTATTTCAGCATATTATTTTATTTGATGACAACAGTGGCATGTCAGGCAAATTTTAAAGTAATATACACAATGTAATTAATAAAAATAATATGACTCTTACTTTTGTAATAAGTGCTATATTCGCACCCCTCGATTGTGATTGAATGATTGTTGCTGACCTTTTTCAACGCTAGATGGTGTGTGAAGCAATATTTTGCGGGTCGCCATTGCAATATTTGGAAAAGGCATGAATGGATCAAATTGTTAATATGATATATTTGGGATAATGCAACCTTTGTCACCTGCCGGTCATGGCTACCACGATGTTGATTTCCTATTGGATTGTTGTTTTATAACTCGATGGTCCCTTTAATATCGAGTTGTAGAGAGTTCACTGTAAAATAATCATACGAATCTAATAAACTTTTATTACTATCAGCTAAATTTATTGGAATATTCATGTCTCCAACCAAGCTTGGAAATGCTCATTTCAGTTAAAATACTATTTTTAATGTTATAATGATTATTTGTTTTTGTAAGATACAAGAAGAGTTTGCAAATTTTCTGTCTGACTTATAAAACCTGTCAATTTCACTTTCAGAAGGTCACAATTAGCGATTTTATGATCGCTGAGCACTTACGCTGAGTGAGCAATCAGCGATCATAAAATCGCTAATTGTGACCCTCTGAAAGTGAAATTGACAGGTTTTATGTGTCATACACACATTTTATATCCGTTTCTTGTATCTATCACATAGTTTCATAGCTACGAAAAATAATATTTAAGCTATTATGCGCGACTTGTCGCGTGAGTGTTACACTTTTTCACAGCTAGAGGGCCAACGATAAATGTGAATCCATCCCATTGTTGACTCAGTGTAGCTTTGGGGCAAATCCTTGCTCGACTACTGATTCCGATACCGCTAGAATGTTTCGTGTTTAAATAAAATTATTTCATCATCAGCTGAAAATCAAAGCAAGCCAGAAACATTCTTTTCAAAATCACGCTTCACGTGCTTTTAGTCGGAAAATGATCCACTTCCTTCCATTTTTTCGCGTTTTAGTTATTAGATTTGTGTGATAAATAATTACTGTTGTAATATTGTGAATTCGACAACCGTTTGTGCTTTATTTATAAATTAAGATTCAACATCGTGAAATAAAAAATGGCAAATGTTGACTACGATCAGCTGAACGCGCGGCTGCGCAAACGCCTGGCTCTGCTGCGTCAGCATCAAGATCCGGAGGAAAAATTCCGGCTGCTGAAGCGCTATCTGTCCCATTTTGTGAAACTGGTACAAATAGGACGGCACTTTGAGGCGTCCTTTGCCGAACATTTGCGGTGTGTTGTGGTAAGATTGACATTCCTCTCGCCACTCATTGTATGTTATTTTGATGGTTAATTTTGTTTTGCTGTTTCGAAGATATTTCTGAACGATCGCCGGGACAAACCACTGGAAACGGATGCGCTAGGGAAGATTGTGAAAACTCTCTGCGTGATTTGCTGCATTACGGCTGCGCCGTATCAAACAGTGGTGATTGCACTGCAAGGCTTGCTGGAGATTTTTGAAAGGATCTCTTGCAAGGAAACGTTGCAAGTCATTCAATATTGTGGGAATCACTTGTATGGACTGCAGTAGCAGCAATGATCGATGTTAATGTTTATAAATTCGTTTTTTTTTATTGTAGCAAAAAATTGCTTTTTTCAGTGTTCACTCGGCTGTCGACAAAAGCAGGCCACTCTCGATGTGTGCTACGCGATCGTCTGTTTACTCGGCAGCAACCATTGTGTGGTCCTCCTCATTGTTCTTCATCAGCAGTTCTTTCGGTCGATGCGTCGTCGACTTTGGAAAGCAACCGTTTCGTGATGATTGTGTGAGTGCTGACCACGTTTTGCGTCCATTGCTGCAATGGACGCGCTCTGACCCTCGTTGGCGTACAACAATTTGCCATACAATGAAACTACTGGAAGCGGCTCCAGTTCTGATGGAGGAGGCTTTTTGGATAGCGGAAGATAAAGTGTTTATTGTGTTGTACCTTTTGACTATAGCTTTAAGATGTATTGTATAGTGACCATGAATCCTCGGCTCTGTTAAGTTAATTCGGTTGAGCCTTATCAAATAAATTAATATACCAAAAAAAAAAAAAAAAATTGCTTTCTCAATTCAGGCGATTCGGATACTTTAAAATACAACTGCAGTTGGTGGAATTGGCGCACTCCGCGTCACTCTCGTTCAGCAAACAGAATGAGCGTAAGGAATTCGTACTCGATCTGGGACGACATATTGGCGGCCCTTTAGAACAGGTTCTCGATTGGCAGTCGTTTGCATTGGAGCAGGTAAATGTTGCTTCAATGTTATATTTTTTAAACTTTCAAATAGGTTAGTAGGTATCTAATTATGTTCTGATTTGTCTAGGAATGTCGAGCTTTTATCAATGGAATGCAGGACAAGTTCCCTCTGTTTGCGGCGTATTCGGTTCCTGTCGAAGATGCTCAAATCGGATTGTATCAATTCGTAAAACCGGAAGATTCGAACGGTCTATGGTTGGATGTTAACTTTCAACCAGCAACCATAAGGTTTAGCGCCCGCGTCACCCTTATTCGCGAGAAAGACTCTTTGGAGATGACGGTTTATCTGGAGATTTGCCACAGGGACGTTTCCAGAATCGATCTGAAAAAAGAGTGAGTACCTATACCTATAGTTGAAAAAAAAAGTTTAGTCTAATGAGGCAGAGATAATGAAAACGCTTGTGTTGTCGGTAATGGTTAACCCTCTCCTCATGGTAGCACAGTAGCATGGAAAAGTTAATTGTGACTTTTCGTAAAAAAAAACTTTTTAACTTAAAGCTTTCAATTATAAAAATGCTAAAATTTGTTTAAATGGACACAATTCGATCGCAGTTTCACTTCCTCGACATGAACGAGATTCGCCGGATCGAGAAACAAAATGATTATTTAAATCCTTAATTATTTTCGTTTCAGACGCAATTCTTGTCTGCTTTCGATCGAGTACACAAAAATCACCGTCGAACCGGAGGTGTTAACTGTAGACAAGATAGGATGCCTTACCTTCACGATTCTGCCGTCATTCGACTGCAGTTATCTCACGGACGACGTTCTACCGGAAGTTCGGACGAATGCCGACCGTATAGAAGATTCGGAGCAACCCTGCACAACCAATCTCGATGGATTATTGAATGTGTCCTTACTGGATTCGATTGTTTCGGGACCTGCCAACAGCCTGAACGCTCATAACATGGAGGATCAATCTCCTCGATTACGTGATAATCGAGATGCAATCGAAAAGCACCGCAATATCCGATGTCAGATGTTGGACAACACCAGCTCGATTGGAAGCAACAAGGAAAATGTAAAACCCCCGTCAATTTCAGATGTTAGGGTTGAGGTGCAGGATGTTCAGCGTTTGCGAGTGTTTGAAACGCTCCAGCAAGACTGTCAACGTCAGCAGACAAGGCTGAGTCGTAGCTCGAGGCGAAATTCTCCGGACAAATGCAATCAGAAGAACGAGCCGGTTAATCCTCGTTTGAATGACGGCAAGAAACGAAAACTGTTCGCTAAGCAAGCGGAACCAGATAACTGTGAGGAGCACCCTATCGCCAGGTCGAATACGCGCGATTATGTACCCCTCGCTGTCAGTTGACATCTATAACGCAGCGACGCAGCAGAAGCAGAATGACAAGCAACTTCCACGTCATCAGCCTTCCACCATCGTATCAGCCCACGTGAGCGTGTGCAGCCTTGACTCCTCTCTTTCGTCGCAGTGCAGTTGAACAGGTAGGTTGTGCGTGCTCTCCAAAAGGGTTGGGTGATTCCGACGGGATACGATCAAAACCTCACAATGGCGATCCTGCCAGGTTTTAGCTACTATTAAGTGCTAAAATAAATTGAACCATTTTCCATTGGAATCACCCAACGATTTGAGAGGGCTAAAAAGTGGAAATTGAAAGGCAATCATAACAGGTATCAAACACGTGGTGGGACGCCCGTGGAAAAAGTTGTTCGAGACGGCTACGTTATGTAATCATTGCCACGGTGTGGGACGCCCGGTGGAATGATTATTCCGTGATTGGACGACTACGAAGAAAAATCTTCCGCGGAGTGGGACGCCTGATGGACGATAAGTATGCCACGAAGTGGGACGCTCGTTGGTGAACAGTGGTGTCAGATGCCCACTAGAAGACTATCTTTGCCATGGTGTGGGACGCCCGGTGGAAAGATTACGGCAAACCTTTAGTAACGAAGTGGGACGCTCGTAAGAAGGTCTGTGGATTTGTTTTTCCACAAGTTGGAACGCCCGTTAGAAAGCTACTTCTGGAAGTAGTAAAGGATTTTTTTTTAATATACTTTCAACAAACAAAAAATCCTATAGCGATGAGGTGAAGCTTACTGCAAACTAATCCTGTTGTGTTTGTGTTTTTTTTTTGTTTCGTTGTTTTCTTTAGCAACAAAATGGAGAGTGACGGTAAATACGTCAAAATTACGAAGAACAGTGAACATTACAGTAGTGACTCACCCCACGAGTATGAAATCTACTCAAGTGATGAAGAACGGGTGGAGTCGTCAAGTGAAGAAGAGGCATCGCGTGCACCAGGCAACGTTTCAGAAGTTCTGAGTGCAGATAATCCGATGTGCGACAACATAGAAGAAGCGGAAGACACGAATCCAAATCATTTGCCTGGTACCAACAAGGGTATCCGGTATGATGGCACGAATGAGTCGGCAATCACGGCTTCGACCGAGACCCCAGCAGCTAGTTCAAATGCAACGTTGGCGGCATTACAGAAGGCACTGGCTGACCTAACGCAAGTGGTGCTTGGTAAACAGGCATTAGGGCAAAATTCTTCCACGGACCAAAGCTGGAGTGGATTGACTTGTCCTCCGGCTCCCGCATCAAACCCTAACATCAGGTTTGATAATATTCCGCCTTTTCCCAAGGGTACACCATCGACCTGTATGTGGGACGCGTTCACCAGGTACCTAGAAAAGTTTGAGATCGCGATCTCACTTAACTGCATCACAAACTCTGCCCAACAAGCCCAATTACTGTACCTGGCGCTAGGAGATGAGATGCAAGGGATAATTCGTGCCGCAGACCTCCGACCGAGTCTTACCGATCCAGATTGTTACAGGCGAATGGTAGGAAACATATCCAGCTACTTTCGTGCAATGACGGACGTTGGCGCAGAACACGATAAGTTCACGGCTATGAGGCAGGCCCGTGGAGAATCTATTGTAGCTTTCCACGCCAGATTAGTGGCCCAGGTTCGACTCTGCAAATACAGCGCAGAAAATCAAATCCGTTTTGTCAGATCGCAGCTGCTTAAAGGAATGGCTAACAGGGAGCTTGCGAGAACAGCTCGGATGTTCGATTATGAAACAGCTTTTGTGGTCCAATCGGCGACTAGATGTGAAGCTTTCGAAGGAGATACGACCTTATCTGGTTGGGATGTGCTTGCAGTAAGTGAATCGAGGACCAAACAAGAAAAAAAACGGGCTCACCACTCAAACTCAACTCGAGGACAGTCTAGTGGCCCATCATTCGACCGGTATAGAAACAAACGTCCCAATACACATGGTTCATTCGACGACCCCCCTTCGAAACATCAGAACTACGGCAGGCAAACGGCTGGTAAGTTATCACTTAAGTCTGAGAACAAAGAGCGTTGGCAAATTGAAAAGGAAAAATAATTCCGGTTAGTGTCATATTCACAGTAAGATCAAAGATTTGTTCCAATTTTGGTAACCGACTTCGCTCGGGTAGTATACGCCATGCTATTTCTTTTCTCGAACTCTTGTGCAACTACAAAGATCTGCTGAGAATCGTAACTGCATTATTATCTGTTATATTGATCCACATTTAGATGCCAAATTTGACAGACCTGGTAAACGAAACCGATGTTCGCGTTGTGATCGTTCTAATCATAGAGGAAGAGGATGCCCAGCGTTGGACAAAGACTGCCGCCGATGCGGTAAGCGAGGTCACTTCGAGGCAGCTTGTCGCCTAAAAAGGGTTGACCAAGTCGATCAAGTTATCCAGCAAAATCCACCAAAATCAGAGGAAGAAGACCAACAGGTATGAGTTTTTTTTTTCTTCTTGTTTTGGGTTGTTATCATTATCAACATTTAGGGAACGACCTGATTATTTTTTATTATTATTTAACGTAAAATAACAGTGATTTGAATTCGTAAAACATGTTATTTTGAGATATGTTCTGTGCTGAAATAAATTGACTTTGTACATAATTTCTTATTTTCCAATGGCTGCTATAAAACCCTCCAGATTATGTCCTTGAAGGATAGGATAGATTTATTATAATTGACCTCCTATTAAACAGCTTAATTGACGGGAAATTCATGTCCAAATTATCGTCTCAATAATGTTATTGACAATGTGCACCGACAACGTTTGCTTAGAGTGAATGAAAAGGAAATTAATTAGTTTTATTCAAGTTAATTTAAATAGAAAGCTAAGTCATTCACATTTTATGCACCAACTGTGTTTCATCTTATGCATCGATTCCTTCCGTAACTACACCGTAACATCAAGACCACTTCTGTGTATACGTTATTTGATAACGATTCAATTGCTTAATGACTTGTATGAATATTGAGCTTGTTTACAAGTTCACTTAGATCTAATTAATCAAATTACCTAGACAATAATCTAGGCTCAGAAGTCTTACAAAACGAAACGGATTCCAATCAAAATAAAAAAAATATTCTTTAAAATTACAAGTTATTCGACAAATCAAGCTATGATCTCAAACAATTTGATAATGTGACTTTTGTTTTACTCTCTCATTTTTTTTTTTCACCCCTCTCCTAAACTTATGTATAGTACATCAACGCTCTGTCACTAGAAGATGTACTCGTCAGCTGCAAACTGGACTCTTCTAGCCCGATAACATTTCTTATTGATTCGGGTGCGGACGTAAATATAATTGGAGGGCGAGATTGGGAACAATTGCAAAACGACTGTAGGATGGGCCTCGTGACGATAGCAAAAATAAAGCTCACAAGAACCACAAATTTAAAATCCTATGCTGCGAACCAACCTTTGCACGTAGAATGTGCATTCAAGGCAGGTATAGTTGTGGATGGATCATACAATCCTCCGGTGGAAGCTGATTTCTTGGTAGTACCAAATGGAAAACGATCCCTCCTTGGCAGAGTTACTTCAAGCGATATGAATCTTCTCAAAGTTGGTCCTTTTGTTAACATTTGTGAAAAAGTTGCGGAAGTGGAAGTCTTCCCAAAAATGCCGGGAGTTAAAGTTAAGTTCAGTATTGATCGATCCGTCCCTCCAGAACGGAACGCCTACTATAACGTACCCGCGGCATTCCGGGAAGGGGCAAGAATTAGACTCCAAGAAATGAAAAATCGAGGTATCATCGAAAAGGTGCACTCAGCACCTGAATGGATCAGTGGTATGTCAGCCGTCGCAAAGGGTAAAGATGACTTCCGTTTAGTTGTAAATATGCGGGGCCCTAATAAAGCTATAAAGCGTGAATACTTCAGATTACCGCTAATTCACGAAATGAAGGTGAAGCTAAATGGGGCAAGATTTTTCTCCAAACTGGACTTAACCAGTGCTTATTACCACCTGGAGTTATCAAAGGAATCACGAGACCTTACGACGTTTCTCTCGGAAAGTGGAATGTATCGTTTTACACGACTCATGTTTGGAGTCAACAGCGCACCTGAGATCTTCCAGCGTGAGATGACCCGGATCTTAGAAGGGATTGAGAACGTTATAATTTACATAGATGATATACTCGTTTTTGCCGATTCCCTGGAAGAGCTTCACCAAACGGTGACCAAAATATTACAAATATTACGAGTCAACAACCTTAGCTTAAACGTTGCTAAATGTGAATTTGATAAGAAGTGCATAAAATTTCTTGGTCATGAGCTGGATGATAAAGGCTTCCATATCGAAGAAGCGAAAATACGACATGTTGAAAAATTCCGCGAACCAACAACCGCCTCGGAACTACGAAGTTTCCTTGGTCTCGCATCCTTCATTAGCCCTTATATTCAAAACTTTTCTGATCTCACGGGCCCCTTGTGGGAAGTCGCAACTACCAAAACTTGGACTTGGGGACAACGTCAGTCTGAAGCCTTTGCAGCTACAAAACAAAAAATTGCTCACTGTACGACTACCTTGGGCTATTTTTCCGATGCAGACAAAACAGTATTGTTCACTGATGCTTCCCCAATTGCACTGGGAGCGGTTCTAGTCCAAGAGAGTCGGCATGGAACTCCTCGCATTATTAGCTTTGCTTCAAAAGCGTTGACATCCACGGAAAAGAAATATGCCCAAAATCAACGAGAAGCTCTGGGTGCCGTCTGGGCTGTGGAACATTTTTCTTATTACCTCCTCGGAAGACACTTTATTCTTCGAACAGATGCTAAAGGAGTTAGCTTCATTTTGAATCGGTCAAGGGAGGATTCCAAGAGAGCGCTCACCAGAGCGGATGGCTGGGCCTTACGTCTCTCCCCGTACAGTTATGTGGTGGAATACATTAAAGGACGGTTTAACATAGCCGATCCATCATCACGCCTCTATGAAGGGGAAGATGGACCTTTCGACGAAACGGTTAGTCCGTGGGAGATTGCAATAATAGAAGCTAATACTGTTGGATTTCTAACAGAAGATGAACTAAGAAAGGCGACCGCGGTAGATTGTACACTAACCCAGGTATCGCAAGCTTTGGAAACGGGAAGCTGGCCAAAAGAGTTACGTAGATACGAGATGCTAGCAGACAGCCTCTGCATCAAGGACGGGATCGTGGTTAAAGAAGGACGTGTGGTTGTTCCGGAGGTTCTCCGCCACAAGGCTTTGGAAGTAGCCCATGAGGGTCATCCTATGGCAGGAAAGCTGAAAACTATATTAAGAGAGCGAGTGTGGTGGCCTGGCATGCCAAGAGACGCGGAGGATTGGGTTAAATCTTGTGCAACCTGCGCGACCAATGGAAGACCTGAGAAAACCACTCCTATGGAGCGTATTTTCTCCCCTAAAAACATCTGGGAAACGATTGCACTCGACTTCAACGGGCCGTATGCAAAATTTGGAGGAATCTACATATTGGTTATAGTTGAGTACAGATCAAGGTACATTTACGCTCGTCCAGTTAAATCGACAAGCTTCGATCATACCCGAAAAGTTTTGGAGGACATTTTCAACAGGGAAGGGTTTCCAAAAAATATTAAGACTGATAACGGTCCTCCCTTTAACGGCCAAGACTTCACGCAATATTGCGCCGAGCGAGGAATTAAGAATATTTTTTCTATGCCGCTATTTCCTCAACAAAATGGCCTCGTGGAGAGGTATATGAAACTTATTAACAAGGCCATGGCAGCAGCCGTTTCTAATGGAACCCAATATTCAGAAGAACTACAAGCTGCTGTTAGAGCTCATAATTCCTCTACTCACGCAATTACCAAGATCGCTCCTGAAGAGATGATGAATGGCAGAAAAATACAACGAGGACTTCCACTTATAACTCCAGGGAAAGTTAGCCTCAATGACGAATTAATCGATAAAAGGGATCGAGAAGCTAAGTTGGAGGGAAAGATTCGTGAGGACGCACGCCGCAGTGCACGTGATAGTAAAGTATTACCAGGTGACACCGTTATCATCGAACGCCATTTGCGGTCAAAAGGAGATAGCAGATTTGATCCAAAGAAGTTCACCGTCCTGGAGCAGTCCAAGGGGAATCTTTTGCTTTCGGATGGCGACGGTCAACAATTGAAGCGGCATGTATCACAAACAAGAAAGGTTTACGAATGGAGGACGGAGGACACAGGAGTAAAATCACCAGCTGAGCAGATGCAGGCACAACGCCGACCGTCTAGGGAGAAGAGAATCCCGGCATACCTCGCGGACTATGTACGTCTGGTAGAGGAGGAGAAGAAAAACTGGCTATGACCAAGCCGGTAAAAGTTTAAAACTAGATCAGGTAGATTTCTGAAGAGAATTAAGGCAATATAAGAAAACTGTTGAACATAAAGGATATACATTTTGTTGTTTTTATTAAATCCGGAAACATTAGGTGTAGGGTCCATTTTTTTTTTTCTTCCAGAGTAGGAGTGGGATGTGAGGAGCACCCTATCGCCAGGTCGAATACGCGCGATTATGTACCCCTCGCTGTCAGTTGACATCTATAACGCAGCGACGCAGCAGAAGCAGAATGACAAGCAACTTCCACGTCATCAGCCTTCCACCATCGTATCAGCCCACGTGAGCGTGTGCAGCCTTGACTCCTCTCTTTCGTCGCAGTGTAGTTGAACAGGTAGGTTGTGCGTGCTCTCCAAAAGGGTTGGGTGATTCCGACGGGATACGATCAAAACCTCACAATAACATGAACGTTAGCAATGATTCGCAGATTCAACGCAGCAAATATGTCGACAGGAAGTTGGTGAATACAGTGAAACCCATCCAGACGTTGGACGTGAAACCTTTGAAATTGATCCAAAATATTGCCGAAGAAAGAATTGATCTTTTAAGTGAACCATCCACATCGGAAATGATGTCCAACGACGAGTTTGATCGAACCCTTCAGGCGTTCTTCGACCATTTGCACACAAAACTGGAAAAGAACATCCGAAAAATCGATCAGGAGGTGGAACGTACTACAAAGAAATTCTTCAAGCGTGAACCAGCTCCGGAGAATCCTTACGATTTCGTCAATACGGATGACAATGAACAAACCGCCCGAAAAGGTGGAAAATCCGCCGCTGGCAAAGGAAAACGAAAGTCACCGAAAACAAACGATGGACATGTTTCGTCGGTGAAGAAAGCCAAAAACGTTGCAAACCAGTCTCTTAGCACTAAGAACGCTAAGCCCACCTCTTCAAAAAAAGGTAAAAAGCAAACATTTCCAAAGGCAGCAGACCCTCTAGTGCCGTCTCGAGCTTCACTACCTCGCGCTAAGAAGCCTGATCGTATCATCGACTTGGCATCAGATTCGGAAGAGGAAGCTGTTGTGATTGGGAATACCTTCCAGAACCTGGACATCTCTTCGATTGTTCGAGATCCAGCCAAGCCGAAGAACCCCGTTGCCCAGCAGCTATTTGCCAATTCAACACCGGTCGGGGGAGCAAAAAGCAAGAAGCGTTCGATTGATCACATAGTAGATGCACAGCAGAAACAGGAAAAGGTGGCCAAGAAACAGCGTGTTCCTCTGTTGGAAATCAATGCTAACAATAGCACTATTGTAACGCGACGGAATTACAAGAAGAGTTCAACTCCGAGTGCTCTACAGCAGACGGCGGCCGCTTTGATCGAGCAGGAAAAGTACAAAGGTAAATTAAATTAAGGCAGATCAATGATTCTGTCTGGATGTTTCATTCATCCCTATTCTGTATTCCGTTCGAAACGGATTTCCCATATTTCTTTTATATGAGAAATCCGTTTTGAACGGCATAGAGATGGTGATTCTCTAATTCAACAGTACTATTCTGCTTATCTAAGGATCGTAAGATCCTAACCCATAAACGCATAACATTGGACTGTTATGCGTTTATGGGCAGTTAAGTTAAGGTAGGAACGAATATTAGCGACTACACAATTTTATACTGAGTTTGTTGTCGGTTCAAATTGGAACATGTATCAAGATAGTGTTACCTTGCGTTATCTTGCAAGGGACAAACTTTGTAACTGACAATAAACTCGGATGGTTAGAAACAAATGAAACACAAATAAATACCTAAGTTGAAGCAATATTATTATCTATTAGCACTTAATTCGCTTTAAATTTAGATGTGCATTGATTTTGTTTACCTCGTACTCGTTTCAGCACAATCTCTGCAAACTTCATCGTCTATTTCGGACCACAGTGTGCGTACTGAAATTTCCATGGAGTTTCCGGGCGCCCATAACCAGTTACCTATGGAACCGCCTACATTGACGGAAGCCATGATTCGCCAGTACCAAAGCTTCGATAGCGATGAACCGATTTCACAGTCCCTCGAAGTCAATCCAAGTCCTCTGCCCGTCCCGGCGGTACGCTTTTCCGAATCCTTGCGTTCTTCTTGGTTATTGCAATCAAAAAGAACCGGCTGAGCCTTCGGCGTGGCTGGATAATACGGTGGTTGCGTCTCATTCAACACAACGCTACCATCTGACAACTGCAAATCAATCGAATCATCTCTCCATGATGGAGGATTGGCAGTATCATGGCCAACGCCAATATTTTCACTGAGGAT